ACCTTTCAGACTCGCTTTATTCACTTAGCAATATGCATTTAAGATTCATCCAAGTCATAGCGCCTGGTGGCATAGTGGTTAAGTGCGTGCACTCCGCTTTGGCGGCCCGGGGTTCGCAGGTTCGGATCCTGGGCGCGCACTGACGCACTGCTTGTCAAGCCGTCCTGTGGCGGCATCACCTATAAAATAAGGGAAGATGGGCACGGATATTAGCCCAGGGCCAGTCTTCCTCAGCAAAAAGAGGAGGATTGGCATCGGATGTTAGCTCAGGGCTCATCTTGCTCTCACACACACAAAAAGATTCATCCAAGTCTTTTTGTGGCTCGATAGCTCACCTTTTTTTTTTTTTTTTTTTTTTTAAAGATTTTATTTATTTAATTTTTTCCCCCCAAAGCCCCAGTAGATAGCTGTATGTCATAGCTGCACATCCTTCTAGTTGCTGCACGTGGGACTCGGCCTCAGGATGGACGGAGAAGCGGTGCCTCGATGCGCACCCGGGATCCGAACCCGGGCCACCAGCATTGCAGCGCGCGCACTTAACCACCAAGCCACAGGGCCTGCCCGATAGCTCACCTTTAAATTGCTGAATAACATTCCATTGTATGGGTATATACTACAGTTTATTATTCATCTATTGAACATTTTGGTTTCTTCAAATTTTGAGTGAGTATGAAGAAAGCTGCTAAAAACATTTGTGTGCAGTGTTTTGTGCATTTGTAAGCTTTGGGACCAGTTCAGTAACTACTAGGAGCACAGTTGCTGAATCATATGGTAAGACTACGGTTAGCTTTGTAAGAAATTACCAAACTATCTTCCAAAGTGGCTGTACTATTTTGTGTTTTCACCAGCAATGAAGTGAGAGTTCCTGTTTTGCTTCACATCTTTGCCTCATCTTGGAACATTTAAGCTAGTTTAATAGTGGCTCTTGGATCTAGATGTATTGACTGTAGCATTTTCTTGGGAGTATTGGCAAATTACAGTTGTTAAAACAGCATGTGTAAGGTGCCGGCCCAGTGGCATAGCGCTTAGTTAAGTGTGCGTGCTCCACTGCTTGTCAAGCCATGCTGTGGCAGGTGTCCCACATGTAAAAGAAGATGGGCATGGATGTTAGTCCAGGGCCTATCTTCCTCAGCAAAAAGAGGAGTATTGGCAGCAGATGTTAGCTCGGGGCTGATCTTCCTCACACGCACACAAAAAAACCCCCGCATATGTAAAGCTAGCAGGGGCTAAGGCTCATACATGCACAGCTATGAGAATTGATTTGTCATGGTTTGGCAGTAGTGATTTCTCATAGCTTTAACAACCCTCTGGATAATGTGAAAGTAACAGATGAGCGCCTGCACACTTCTCATAACCTGAAAAACCAGGTTCTGCAACTCAGGGGTGTAGGGGAATTGGTGGTGGGAGAGAAGTGCATTTCCTGAAGTTTGCTGGAGACTTCCTGTGTTGTTCCTGACAGTGCCAGTAGCCTTCTGCTACCTGGAAACTTTTTCCTTTCACTGGGGCCATTCTGCCTCCCCCATGTGGATGCCTTCCTACCCCCTGGTTCTTGGTCCACCAACCTGGGCTGGCTGCTCTGCAGTTGTACCCTCCCTCGCTAAGCCCTGCCTGAATCCCACATTCCAGATCACTCCATTTAGTGCTTTTCCCGGCCAGTCTTCCTGTCCTGTCTCTATCACACCTCCTCAGTATTCAACTACATAGTAACATTTTGTCTAGTGTGATAGAAATATAGGACTTGGATTCTTTGAATCTGACTTATTGGTTGTGATAATGAGTAGATTATTTTAATTTCACTGTCTTTGTTCCTAATGTGTAAAGTAAATGAGACCTCATGGGAGGTTTACAGGAAACAATGTATGTGAAAGTGCTTTATAAACTGGAAAACAAAGCACAAATAGATTATTCATAAACCCTAATCAGTGGTTCTCAAAGTGTGGTTCCTGACCCAGCAGCCTCAGCATTCCCTGGAACTTGTTAGGAAGGTAAAGTCTGGGCTTGGGGCCCAGCACAGACCTACTGAATCAGAAACTCTGGATGAGGCCCAGCAATATTGTGACAAGCCCCCTGGATGACGCTCATGGCTGCTCAAGTTTAAGAAGCACTGCCCTACAACATAATACTTAAAAACCTAAGGACAATTGTATTCGTTTGCTTGGGCTGCCATAACAGACTACCACAGACTCAGGGGCTTAAACAACTGAAATTTGTTTCTTCACGGTTCTGGATGCTGGAAGTCCAAGATCAAGGTATCACCAGGGTTGGTTTCTGGTGAGGACTTTCTCCTTGGCTTGGGGAGAGCTGCCGTCTTGCTGTGTCCTCACGTGGACTTTCCTCTGTGCATGAGCACTCCTGGTGTCTCTTTGTCTTCTTATGTGGACACCAGTACTACTGGATTAGGGCCCCACCCTTATGACCTCTTTTAACATTAATTACTTCCTTGAAGATCCTATCTCCAAATATAGTCAAATTGGGAGTTAGGGCTTCAATATATGTATTTTGGGGGGAACACAGTTCAGTCTATAACAACAATGTATCAACAAATTTAAAATTATTAAGGAAAAAAATCAGCCCTACCTTTTTTAAAGGTGAGTATGTAGTTAGCCCACTGGACCCTATCTTCCTGATTAGCTTGTCCTTGAGCAGTAGTGTTCTAGCATCAATACTTAGGCCTAATTAATCCATTGGTTTTGTGCTTTACTTAATTACTACTAGTCTTACCACATTTTGTTTTATTTTTAAAAAGTTGTAACCATATATTGTTTTCGCTATGTTTTGGGTTAATTTGGTTTTGTAGCTTATCCCTGAGAATCCAGCCACCATTTATAGCATTGTTTCTATGAGAGAGAACTTGGGGTTGTATAGAGTTGATTTAGAAAAAAGTGTTGAATCAACCTATTTAGTTTTGGAGAATCCCTTGTAGTTGTAAATCAAACAAAGTGATATTGCTATGTTATGTATATTATTTTGACGGTAGAGAATAAAGCTCTTAGCAGGGAATAAATGAAAGATTATGGTATTGTTTTAAATATAAGAAACCATAGAAGAATGTTCACATTGAGAGTTTCTTCTAAAAACTAATACCAGTCCAGGAAAGGTTATGAATGATTTTATTTAGCACGTATTTTCGGCACTGCCTAAATGCTAAGCATTTGGAAATGCAACGTTCTTTCATTTTGTGAACATAGTCCCAAGATGTGTAATAAAAGAAATACCCCCAAATGATATGTGAAAATCTAGTTCTGTGTTGAGTTACTTACTTTAAAGGATTATACAGTTTATAAGGAATTGGGCGTTAAATTCAGCATTAGAATAAGCTGACATATATTTTTTCTAGAAACTTAATTGGTAAAAATTGCAGCCTTGGTTGTGAATTGGGGCCATCGAAGTTTATGAAGGAGCTTTCTACTTCAGTTTCTTTCTTTCTTTTTTTTTGTTTTTGGATTTTGCATGAGAAATAAAGATCTGCATTGTAAGCAATAGACCAAAAAAATTGAGGTCAGAGGTTTTTTTGTTTTGTTTTGTTTTGTTTTGTTTTGGTGAGGAAGATTGGCCCTGAGCTAACATCTGTTGCCAATCTTCCTCTTTTTGCCTGAGGAAGATGGTCCCTGAGCTAACATCTGTTGCCAATCTTCCTCTTTTTGCCTGAGGAAGATGGTCCCTGAGCTAACATCTGTGCCCATCTTCCTCTCTTTTGCATATGGGACACTGCCACAGCATGGCTTGATGAGCGGTGTGTAGGTCTGCACCTGGGATCCAAACCCATGAACCCTGGGCCGCCAAAATGAAGCACATGAACTTAACCACTATGCCACCAGGCCGGCCCCTCTCTTTATTTTTCAGTGTTTTTTTTTTTATTGTGGTAAAAACATATAAGATTTACCATTTTAACCGTTGTTGAATGTACGGTTCAGTGGCATGAAGTACCTTCACATTGCTGTGCAACCATCACCTCCATCCATCTTCAGAAGTCTTTTCATTTTGCAGAATTGCAACTCTATACTGAAAACTACCAAATCATTTTGTGCATCCATGTGGCTCAGTTTTTATATCTTTAGATCTGTGGTCCTTGGAAAGAGGACCCACTACCACCCGTGGCAGTCTAATACAATACGCAAGGCACTTAAGTGTTTAGAAAATGAGATAAAAGTTGCTGGTCCTTGGTTTAATATTTTTGTTGTTGAGTCTTAAAACACTAATGTAAAACCATATCTACACTTGATCTTTGAACAACAGCGTCAGTATCTATATTAAGTTTTTAATGTGAGGCTGTTACCATTTCATTGTAATGTTTTAATCAGTACTCATTGTAAATTAATACATGTAAGGGGCTTTTGTGCATTGTCAAGCTCTTTACAAATGCAAGAGGTTAGTTTGGAATTGTGTTTGAACGCTCTAGACCTAGATCTCTGTAGCCAACATGATATTCTATATGGGCACAGTTGTTTGAGTTTTATTTTGAAATTTTCTTTAAATTGAATCTTTTTTTTTTTTTTTTTTTTTTTTTTTTTTAAATTTCAGGTGTACATCATTGTACTTCTATTTCTGCATGGACTACATCATGTTCACCACCAAAATACTAATTACAACCCATCACCACACACATGTACCGAATTATCCCTTTCACCCTCCACCCTCCCCCCTTCCCCTCTGGTAACCACCAATCCAATCTCTGTCCCTATGTGTTTGTTTATTGTTGTTATTATCTACTACTTAATGAAGGAAATCATACGGTATTTGGCCTTCTCCCTCTGACTTATTTCACTTTGCATTATACCCTCAATGTCCATTAAATTGAATCTTTTAACTAACTGATTTTAGGAAAACCCCTTAATCTCTCTGGGCTCACTTTCTTTATCTGTAAAATGAAATATTCACAGTAAAGTTCTCTTTAGCTCTGATTTTAAAGCCTTAATTTTAATTGAGAGGGGTTAGTGGTCTTTACAGAACTTTTAAAAGAAGGCTGTATGTTTAACTTACTTTACCCTTTTTATATGTAGATCATGGAAGCGAAGTGGTTGCTGTGTATGTTACTGGTCATTGGAACTGCTGTTGTTAAGGCTCATGATGGACATGATGATGATGTGATTGATATTGAGGATGACCTCGATGATGTGATTGAAGAGGTAGAAGACTCAAAACCGAAACCAGACACCAGCACTCCTCCATCTCCAAAGGTTTGACGTGGTCTTTGAATCTATTCATTTTACCTCTTGAGATAATCAAAGGATGAAGGTAAATTTGGATCCTTTCCAAAGGGAAAGCAAAGTTTGCTAAAATACTTATTGACCTTTCTTACAGCCTTTGTTATATATTGCCAAAGATAAATTATATGGATTGAATTTGAGGGTAAGCTGTGAAAGTTTTGTGATAATTTAAAGCAAACCAAGAGAATAAATCTTACTAAGAAAGGAATGTTGCTGAAAATCCCGATTCTTAGTTCATTTTTGTTTTCAACACAGGTCACCTACAAAGCTCCAGTGCCAACAGGGGAAGTGTATTTTGCTGATTCCTTCGACAGAGGAACTCTCTCAGGGTAAGTATTTCTTAGGGGAAAAAATCTTAGAGGCAAACACTCATGTAAACAGGATGGAATAGTCGATTCTTTTTTGGATAGCAGTTTATGTAGTGAAATACTATTTTATATCCCTAGTGTTCATGCCCATTTAGGAAAACAATCTTTCAGAACATGCAGTTATACTTCCATTTCTCTCTCCTTCTCCACCCTGTATTTTGTTCTTTGAGAAAAATTTTTTCTCTTGAGTAGAATTATTTCATGGATTTGGTCGTTTTTTTTACAGGTTTATGAGTTGAGTACAATATATTATTGCTACTTACGTGACAGATTTAAAAGTTGAAAGTAGGGTGGTTAAGTAGGCTAAGAAGAGCTAGATAGATCCTGCTTTTATTGGTATTTACATTGTTTCTTTTCACAGGCCAGCTATCATTTGAATCTTAATTTTGGGGTTTGTCTTAATTACAGGTGGATTTTATCCAAGGCCAAGAAAGATGACACTGATGATGAAATTGCCAAATATGATGGTGAGAGTTCCATTTGATTTAGCTATAATAGCAGATTGAGGTTTGACATGTTTCCGTGGTATCTGTTAAGACTGGTTTAAAAGGAGTATGTATACATTTTAAGATTTTTCCCTGGAAGTTTTGCTATTTTTGTGTGCTCCATTATATTTCCTAGGGTTAGACCTGTTTAATGTTTGTTTTACACCATACAGTGGAAAGATAATTTATCACCTATGGTGCTGCGTGTTGGAAATGGAAGGTCTTTTCTAGGCATTGGTAAAATGAACATGCTACAAGTTTTTAAATACGATATCCTAGTACTTTTCAAATATATGTCTGTTTATATTATTAGGCCATCTTTCATAGGTAAATGGGATATGTTAAGAATTTGTCAGTATGATAGACTTGCACAACTTGGAGTTTGGTTTGTTACCATTTAAAGGACCTTCCAAGTTATAGTTAAGGAGTGGAACTTCACTTTGTTGTCTTGCAGGAAAATGGGAGGTAGATGAAATGAAGGAAACAAAGCTTCCAGGCGATAAAGGACTTGTATTGATGTCTCGGGCCAAGCATCATGCCATCTCCGCTAAACTGAACAAGCCCTTCCTGTTTGATACCAAGCCTCTCATTGTTCAGTGAGTGAAAACGCTTGTGTGATAGAAGCTTTTTAGAAAGGGTGATTTCAGAAGACATTATATTATAAAACTATTACTCTGTGTAAAAAAATTATGCAAATAATTATATGTTACAATAGGGATTTTTTTTTGGGGGGGGGGAAGATTGGCTCTGCACTAACATCTGTTGCCAGTCTTCCCTTTTTTTTTTCCTCCCCAAAGCCCGAGTACATAGTTGTGTATCATAGTTGTAGAGTTGTAGCTCTTCTATGTGGGACGCCGCCTCCACGTGGCTTGATGAGCAGTGAGTAGGTCTAGGCCCAGGATCTGAACCTGTGAGCCCCAGGTCACTGAAGTGGAAGGCGTGAACCTAACCTGCTACGCCACTGGGCCAGCCCCACAATAGGGACTTTTGAGTGTATTTAAGCATCAATAAATTATTTCCTGCTCAATAAATTATTTTGAAACAAATCGGCTATTTTTCCTTATGATAGCAAATGATCTTCTGGATTTTGTGAAAAGTATTTACTGGGAATCTGTGTTAAGGTTTTATTTTATTTTTATGGGATTAGTAACCATGTAAAACCAATAGAAGATGGAATCCTTCTTTAGTATAAACATGTGACCCGTGATAAAACATGTGACCAAGATGGGGGAAAGGGGAAATAAATTAAGAAATTTGATCTTTCATAATGCCATATGGTTTTCTGCTTTTCTCTCTGAAATTAGGTATGAGGTTAATTTCCAAAATGGAATAGAATGTGGTGGTGCCTATGTGAAACTGCTTTCTAAAACTCCAGAACTCAACCTGGTAGGTACTTCCTATTTTTTTATGTGGCCACCCACAGTTATTTTTTAAGAATGTTAGAGAAAAGGAAAGAAAATTTTGTAAGACCTGTGAAAATAAAGGCCTCCTCTCCTGCTGTCGGAATATTTTGGAGGATTGGGAATATTGACTTTGCCACTTCTATGCTTTTTATTTGAAATGCGAATTTTAAAGCTGTTCTGTCTTATCCCTGATTTCTGTTCTGTGCAATTTTTAGTTTTAGCAAACTTATTTCTTTGTTTTATGAAAGAAGCAGTAACTATCTAGATATATGCATTACTTTGTTTTTTGAAACACTTTCATATATTCTCATATAAAATTTCCTAGTAATTTCTGGTTATTTTCACTGGTATCTATACAAACCTCATAAATGAATCAGCTTTTCCTTTAAGGTTACACTAATTTATTTGGGATTTAATAAGAGGAAATATGACCCTTTGAAAGGTTGCTTTTGAACACTTGGAGTTACTTAAAATAATCCATTTTGTTTCTGAAGGATCAGTTCCACGACAAGACCCCTTATACGATTATGTTTGGTCCAGATAAATGTGGAGAGGACTATAAATTGCACTTCATCTTCCGCCACAAAAACCCAAAAACGGGTATATATGAAGAAAAGCATGCTAAGAGGCCAGATGCAGATCTGAAGACCTATTTTACTGATAAGAAAACACATCTTTATACGTTAAGTAAGAAAAAACATTAACTTTGGGGTTTTATGACACTACACGTTTATCATCTGTTTAATTTAAAGACTGCACGTCTGGAGAAGACTCAACTCTGCAAATAAGGGTCTCTGTTGACCCTACGTCTCTGTTGACGTAATGTCCTTGTGGTGAAATGAACTTAATTTCTCAGCACTAAAAGAAGCTTCTCTTCCATAAGTTGAATTGAGAACTGGGGTTTGAGACAATTTTAAGAATAAGCTTTTATGTCCTATAAAGAGCTTCTCTGCTGATCCCTTCATTTCCTCCCTTTGTTTATTTTCTTGTTGATAAAATGTTAAATAATAGGACATACAATGGAAATGTATATACAGTTTTTTAAAATTATCTTTTAGTTGAACTGTGGATTCTCCAACACCTGGACAATTGAGTTTGATCATTTGGATATTGGAATGGCTTTTTTTATTTTAATGAAGCTTTTCCTGCTGGTTTGAGATCACATATAAATATGCCTCTTTTGCTAAAGAATACAATAACCTTTTTTCTTTATAACAAAAGTAATATGTATTCAGTATAGAAATTAAAAAAAATAGAAATAAGCAAAAGGACGACATTTAAAATTATCTGAAATATCAACATTGTGATATATATTTGACCATATGTAAATAAACACATGGATGTGTATAAACACACATGTAATTTCTAAGTAAAAGTTAAATATGCTATATTTTACTTGCTCTCCTAACTTCATAAAAGTGAGAATCTTTCCGTGGGAGTACATATCATTGATAACGTTGCTCATTTTTGTTATTACTGAGGACAGCAGCATAGAACTCCATTGTCTGCTGTGGTATGGATGTGCTGTGACCTAGTCAATTGCCTATTAGAGACATGTACGTGTGGGATCCAGGCTTTAGCATAAGTCACACTTAGATTCTTTTACAGATTTAAAATTGTGTTTTCATTTTCCGTTGGACTCCAAAAGTACAACATAGGTGGTGGTAATACCAGCTAAAAAATGAGGAAATGGGCCTTTTCTACTGGGGGGTGGTTTTAAAACATAAATAAACTTATTTGCCTGTTGACTGGTGTGTAACCATTTGTGTCAGACCAATATTGCGTTAGTTTATGTACCTTTGATTTTTTAATGTCTGTAAATGAAAGCTTTTGGTGTTTTAAATTTTATCTATCATTTGTTTTAATTCCTAAAAACCTGAGGAACCACCATTTATGATTTATGAATAAGGGAAAGAGGGGGCCAGCCCCATGGCTTAGCGGTTAAGTGCGCGTGCTCCACTATTGGCTGCCGGGGTTCAGATCCCGGGCGAGCACCAACGCACCGCTTCTCTGGCTGTGCTGAGGCCGAGTCCCACATACAGCAACTAGAAGGATGTGCAACTATGACATACAACTATCTACTGGGGCTTTGGGGAAAAACAAAAAGGAGGATTGGCAATAGAGGTTAGCTCAGAGCCACTCTTCCTCAGCAAAAAGGAGGAGGATTGCCATGGATGTTAAAAAAGGGAAAGAGGGTTAACTCGCCGAAGGCCCTGAGACCATGCTCTAACTCTAATGCTGAGGTCTTTACTCCATGCTTCTGCCCTCTGTTAGAAATGTGATCTTTTGTGTTGTGGTAAAGAGAGCTTGGCAATGAGTGGTTAATTAACTTTTTAAAATTGCATTTAATTTTTTTTCAGTCTTGAATCCAGATAATAGTTTTGAAATATTAGTGGACCAGTCTATTGTGAACAGTGGAAATCTGCTGAACGACATGACTCCTCCTGTAAATCCCTCTCGTGAAATTGAGGACCCAGAAGACCGGAAGCCTGAGGATTGGGATGAAAGACCAAAAATACCAGATCCCGATGCTGTCAAACCAGATGACTGGTGAGTCCTTAAGATCTGTCTTTGAGTGCAGTGGAGCATTTCCATATTCACGTGGCTTGAACAACTAAATGTTGATTGAGATCTGGTGATTTCAATAATCTATGATACAGTCTAAATGCTAGGAAAAATACGTAGACTACTATAACTGAAAGGGGCTGTGGTGATCATCTGGATTGCCTCACACCATTTTACAAGCCACAAAATGCTGAAATTGATGATGGAGTTTGCCTGTGGTAATACAATTGGTTTGTGGCAGAACTGTGGGTGTCTTGGCCTGGCCTTTCCAGTACGTCTATGAATTCACATGTAAAGCTGGAGTCCTCAAATTTTAAATTTTAATTTGAAAAATAACCTTTTTCCTATTTAAACAGTACTTGAGATCTCGGCTCTGTGCTGGGCAGCAGAATATAAAGCCACAAGGGCATCGGTGCCTACACAGCTCACAGTCCAGTTGTAAGACAGGCAAATAAAGGTAGCATGCATATGGTGAGTGGTCTGATAGTAGATGTAGCTTGGTGACCAGCGCACCAGGTATCGCTAATCCAGGCATGGTTTCTTGGAGCAGGGCAAATCAAACTGAGACTTGAAAGTGAGATGATCGTTAACTAAGTGGTGAAGATGGGAAATGATACTCCTGGTTGAAGAAGAACATGTGCAAAATTAGAGGAGCAGGAGTGAGCTTGACATCTATGAGGAAGATTGAGTATACGTGGCCTTCTATGTAGGGTACAAATTGGGAGTGATGAGAAATGAAAACAGGAGGGGTTGGCCATGTTTGAGCTCCAGTATGGTGACTTAATCTTTCTTTCTTTCTTTTTTGTTTTTTTTCTTTTTCGAGGAAGATCAGCCCTGAGCTAACATCCAATGCCAATCCTCTTTTTTGCTGAGGAAGATTGGCCCCAGGCTAGCATCCATGCCCATCTTCCTCTACTTGATATGGGACGCCACCACAGCATGGCTTGACAAGCAGTGCGTCGGTGCGCCTCGGGCCGCCGAAGCAGCGCACACGTTAACCGCTGCACCACCAGGCCGGCCCGCAGTGACTTTCAGAAATGTCAGAAAGTGAAGGAAGAGAAGCAGTAAAACTGATCTTCCATTTGTAAAAGTATCCACTTAGACTTAGCAATTAAATTCTAGTTGGTGTTTTTCCTTCCTTAAAGTTAAAGTATGTGTACCTGAACTTTTATGCTGCACTAGTGTAAATGCTGAGTTTATTTGTATATTTGATGAACATTCAGTCTGGACTCAGCCTATTCAGTATTGTATTCCTTAACCAGCTGTTTTATTTTGGGGGTTGGGGGTGAATGTTCAGCTTAAAAGGGTCAGCTGAGTGTTTTACAAGTTCTCATACAATTAATTTAAAACTAGCATGGTTCAAAAATAAGCATAATCCTGACCAAGGATGGAAGATGTCTTTGCTTACCAGCCAAAGGGGCACTGTCTTATAGTAACTGCATTAAACTTTGAAATTAGGTACTTCTTGATGAACTTTTATTTTAGGAGTAGCTGTTTGAGTTATAATTCACATACTAAAATCCACCCTCTTAAAGTGTACAGTTCAATGGTTTAGTATATTTACAGTGTTGTGCAACCATTACCACTGTCTAATTCCAGAACATTTTTATCACCCAAAAAGAAACCCAAACCCATTAAGCAGATACTTGTATTTCTTTGTTCCACCAGCCTCTGGCAACCACTAATCTACTTTCTGTTTCTATGGATTTGCCTATTCCGGACATAGAATAATATACTATGTGACCTTTTGTGTCTGGCTTCTTTCACTTAGCATAATGTTATCAAGATTTATCCATGTTGAAGCGTGTATTAGTACTTCTTTCCTTTTATGACTGAATAATATTCCATTGTGTGGATAATACCACATTTTATGTATCTATTCCTTAGTTAATGGACATTTGGGTTGTTGCCCTTTTTTGGCTACAGTTGTGAATAATGCTGCTATGAACATTCATGTACAAGTTTTCGGGTAGATATACATTTTCATTTCTCTGGGATACGTACCTAGGAGTGGAATTGCTGGGTCATGTGGTAATTCTACGTTTGACTTTGAGGAACTGCCGAACTGTTTTCTAAAGCTGCTGCACCGTTTTGCTTTCCACAAGCCATGTATGAGGGTTTCATTTGCTCCACATTCTCACCAACACTTGTTTTTATTGATAAGTTTTTTTTTTTATAGCCATCCTAGTGGATGTGAAGTGGTATCTTATTGTGGTGTTTTTGTTTTTGTTTTTGTTTTTAATTTTATTTATTTATTTTTTCCCCCAAAGCCCCAGTAGATAGTTGTATGTCCTAGTTGCACAGCCTTCTAGTTGCTGTATGCGGGACGCGGCCTCAGCATGGCCAGAGAAGCGGTGCGTTGGTGCACGCCCAGGATCCAAACTCGGGCCGCCGGCAGCGGAGCACACGCACTTAACCGCCAAGCCACGGGGCCGGCCCGTTATTGTGGTTTTGATTTGCATTTCCCTGAAGGCTGATGATGTTGAACATCTTTCCATGTGCTTATTGGGCATTTGTCTATCTTTGGAGAAATGTCTTTTCAAATTCTTTGCTGGTTCTTCAATTGAGTTGTCTTTTTATTATTCAATTGGGAGAGTTCTTTATCTATTCTGGATACTAGGCCCTTATCCTGTATATGATTTACAGATTTTTTTGTGTGTGTGTGAGGAAGATCAGCCCTGAGCTAACATCCGATGCCAGTCCTCCTCTTTTTTTTGCAGAGGAAGATTGACCCTGGGCTAACATCTATGCGCATCTTCCTCTACTTGATATGGGATGCCACCACAGCATGGCTTGACAAGCGGTGCGTTGGTGCGCGCCCGGGATCCGAATCTGCAAACCCTCAGGCCACTGAAGCGGAGAGCGCGCACTTAACAGCTTCGCCACTGGGCCGGCCCTACAGATATTTTCTAGGACTAATTATTTTAAGTTTTGAGCTTAATAGAGAACTAAATACTTTTAGATTGCCCTGTTTCAGATTCACAAAGCTGGACCACATGTGGTTCTCTGGTCAGTGGTGTCATAACTGGCTTTTTCTCTGGTGTTTAAGGGATGAAGATGCCCCTGCTAAGATTCCAGATGAAGAAGCCACAAAGCCTGAGGGCTGGTTGGATGATGAGCCTGAATATGTACCTGACCCAGATGCAGAGAAGCCAGAGGATTGGTACGAGCTTCGGTTAACGTTTTAAATTACTTGCTTTTTTACTGAACTAAAAGTTAATTCTTAAATATAGTCAAAGGGTCAAACTTAAGTGTAGAGCTCAACAAATTTAATTACATTTTTGTCTCTCTCTCTCTCTCTCTCTTTTTTAATGCATCTGTCATGAAAAACCCTTGTTACTGGAAATGTAGAAACAAGATAATGTTCTATAGTATGTCACTGTGAAAGCATTCCTGCAGGATTTAAAAGGAGTCCAAGGAGGGCTGTTCACAGTCCTGTATCACAGAACCCATTTATAATTTGTTTATATCTCTACAGGGATGAAGATATGGATGGAGAATGGGAGGCCCCTCAGATTGCCAATGCTAAGTGTGAGTCGGCCCCTGGCTGTGGTGTCTGGCAGCGACCTATGATTGACAACCCTAATTATAAGGGCAAATGGAAGCCTCCCATGATTGACAATCCTAACTACCAGGTGTGTGCCTCTTGATGGTTGAGTTACTTCATCGTCCTGTTTGCGTTCAGATAGAAGTTTTCTCTGTAATGAGGCTGCCAGGTGGATCACTATATTCAAACTACTGGATTAAAAACAAAGGAAACGTCAGGGGCCGGCCCGGTGGCATAGTGGTAAAGTGTGTGCGCTCTGCTTTGGCAGCCCAGGGTTCACAGGTTGGGATCCTGGGTGCGCACCGACGCACCGCTTGTCAAGCCGTGCTGTGGTGGCGTCCCATATAAAGCAGAGGAAGATGGGCACGGATGTTAGCCCAGGGCCAATCTTCCTCAGTAAAAAGAGGCAGATTGGCATCAGACGTTAACTCAGGGCTAATGTTCTTCACCAAAAAAAAAAAAAAAAAATTGCCCTTTGAAAAAAAGCTGCCCTTTGGTTGTTCTGTTGATGGCCATTTAGGTTGACATTTTTACTTTTTGAGTCCGTGCTGCAGTAGTCATCCTTGTACGTGTCTGGGTGTATGTGGTAACTGTTTGTCTAGGTAGTTATCTAGAAGTGAAATTGCTGGTTGACGATCGTGTACACTTTAAATCACCACTGAAGAACTCTGCACGGACTTATGCTCCCAATCCTACTAGCAGTTGATAAGAGTGGAGGCTGTTGGAATGTGCCAGGCAGAGCGAGGTGATGGTTTGGATCAAGGTCATGGATGATATTAAAAATTGAAAGTACAGTCATGTGCCACATAACAGTGTTTCAGTCAGTGATGGACTGCATATAGGACGTGGTCCCATGAAATTAGTCCCATAGAGCCGAGGCATGTAGTAGGCTATACTACCTAGGTTTGTGTGAGTACACTCTATAATGTTGGCACAGTGACGAAATCATTAAACGATACATTTCTCAGAATGTACCCCATTGTTAAGTGACACCTGACTGTAGTTGGAATCCAGACATCTTAGAGGCAGGGTGTGTGAAACATCAGTAGCATCTTTGTTTTCTTCCTGTTATTCAGTTAAGTTTCACGAAGTCAGCACTTAGCTTCATTGATCATGCAGAATTCATCTTAATTCTTACTTAGGTTCACCATAAATTTGTGTTGATTATTAACTGAAATGATTTTTTAATATTTTTCTCTAGGGAATTTGGAAACCCCGGAAAATAGCAAATCCAGATTTCTTTGAAGATCTAGAACCTTTCAAAATGACGCCTTTTAGTGCTATTGGTTTGGAACTGTGGTCCATGACCTCAGACATTTTTTTTGACAACTTTATTGTTTGTGGTGATAGAAGAGTAGTTGACGATTGGGCCAGTGATGGATGGGGTCTGAAGAAAGCTGCTGACGGGGCTGCCGAGGTTTGTGGTTGCTTGTTTCTTGTGCATTTATATCTGTTATTGCAGGTAACTAACTGCTATTTTTGTGAAAAACTATTGTCTAGAGGTTGTCTTTTCCCTTTTTTGGGAATATTGGTATAAAAAGTGTGATTGTATGCCTACTAAAGACAAAATATTGGGATTTCGAACATGACTTCATTAGTCTAACACAATTGCTTTAGATTCTCTATTTGTATTATGTGTAAGGTATTTTTTTTATTATTGTGTTAAAATATATTTAACAAAATTTGCCATTTAAGGTATATTTTAATACACTCTTAAATGTTGACTCTTGGGTTACCCAATATATGGAATTTTCAAACAGTTGGTCATATGGCCGAGCTGCAAATTAGAGAACCAGAGACACTGAGATCAAGAAATTCTTCATTCACTGGTCCCTGAAATTAAGGAGCCTTTTGCAGATGATTAAGAAGCCAGCTTTCACATCTACGAAAGGGAAATCACCTTGATGATAGGAAAATTGGGGCTTTATCTCTTATTTCCCGTTTACATTGTATGAACATCTCAGCTTGAACCCGTAGAAAAAAGAGGAGCCTGAGTAGTGCCGTGTAGTAATTGAACAATGCAGCCTCTATTTGGTGTCAGAAGCCAGAATGTGAAATCCGTCCTGTCTTGTTTTTCAGCCTGGTGTAGTTGGACAGATGCTTGAGGCTGCCGAGGAGCGCCCATGGCTCTGGGTGGTCTACATTTTGACTGTAGCTCTGCCTGTGTTTCTTGTTATCCTTTTCTGCTGTTCTGGAAAGGTATGAGTTTTGTGGGTTTTTTTGAGTCACTTTTAGAAAGAACTCTTATGACGTTGAAAATAACTAAGATATATTACCTGAGGTTTTCTTTGTAGCAACTCAGTAATGGCTGGGCCACATTTGGTGTTGACCTCCGAAACCTTATCCACGACTCTCAGTGGCCATTGATTGTGCCCAGATGAAAGTAGGATTTGTAGCCCCTCAGTTTCTAGTAGTATTGAAGCCCACTGTATTAGTCTTCTTAATATTTGGCAGCACCTTCCTCGGGTGGAGGGGTGGGGAATCTTAGATATAAAACCAGCCAACTGGGTACAAACCAACATTTCCTCCTGGCATAGCTGTTTCTATTCATGTACTTTATAATTTGATCTTTGATTTCTCATTATCTGTTCCTCTCTCAGCATCCTTACCCTCCCCGCCAAAATACCTGTAGGGGTAATACAGCCTTATTTTAGTTTTTCTTGTTTAGCCTTTATTATATGCAATCAAAAAAGAAAATTTTGTTCGAGGTCTCTACTTCTACCAAATAAGGATTATGCTTCACCTTGGTTCAAGATGATTTGTAACCTGATTCCCGAAGTTCCTTTTCCGGCTTTATCCCCTGCCACTCTTCTGTGTGTCTGGGCCTCAGTCACCTGGACTATTTAGACCTGCACATTCCTGCCTGACTCCTTTGTTCTTACTGTTCCTTCTGCCTTCAGCCATACACACACTCACCAAAGAGAAAGCTCTCAGGGCAGGAATTACATCTTACTCATTTCCGTATGTCTGCCTCAGTATAAAGCCTGGTACTGAATTTTGCTCATAGGCATTCAATGATTAGCCAACCCTGGTGGTCTAGTGGTGAATTTTTGGCCCTCTCACTGCCGAGACCCGAGTTCACTTCCCGTTCAGGGAACCACACCACCATCTATTAGTTGTCATACTGTGGTGGCTGCGTGTTGCTGTGATGCTGAAAGCTATGCCACCAGCAGGGTCACCCATGATGGACAAGTTCAGAAGAACTTCCAGACTAAGACTAGGAAGAAGGACTTGGCCACCCACTTCCAAAAAAATTGGCCGTGAAAACCCTGTGAATAGCAGTGGAGCATTGTCTGATATAGCGCCAGAAGGTGAGAGGATGGTGCAAGAAGACCGGGCAGGGTCTGCTCTGCTGCACACAAGGTTGCCGGGAGTCAGAACTGACTTGAGGGCCGCTCCGTGGCTTAGCAGTTAAGTGCGTGTGTTCCGCTACTGGCGGCCTGGGTTTGGATCCTGGGCACGCACCAACACACTGCTTGTCCGGCCATGCTGAGGCCGCATCCCACATACAGCAACTAGAAGGATGTGCAACTATGACATGCAACTATCTACTGGGGCTTTGGGGACAAAAAAAGGAGGAGGATTGGCAATAGATGTTAGCTCAGGGCCAGTCTTCCTCAGCAAAAAGAGGAGGATTAGCATGGATGTTAGCTCAGGGCTGATCTTCTTCACAAAAAAAAAAAAAAACAAAAACAAGAACTGACTTGATGGCACTAACAACAATTCAGAAATTACATGAGAATGTAATACATAATAGTGTGAACAAAATTGTTGCGCTTTGGGGGAATATTTCAGAAACAGTCCAGTCCTGCGGAGCACAAGAAGACTGATGCTCCTCAACCAGATGTGAAGGAAGAAGAAGAAGAAGAGAAGGAAGAGGAAAAGGACAAGGGAGACGAGGAGGAGGAAGGTGAAGAGAAACTTGGTAAGAAGTAAACCCCAAAATATGTGTTTTAAGCCAAGACCCTAAGATGTTGTTTCAAACTCTTAAAAGCAGGTTCTTGCTTAGTTGTTTCACTTTGACTTCTGTCTTAGAAGAGAAGCAAAAAAGTGATGCTGAAGACGATGGTGGCACAGTCAGTCAAGAGGAGGAAGATAGAAAACCTAAAGCAGAGGTAATAGAAAGGGGGGGAGTACATTTTGTATTTCAAGCAACTAAGTTGAAGGTACATTTAAGTAGAAGGAGTATTTTCTTAGGGTAATTTTCAGTGGCTGTGGTGGTAAAAATTCTGTTAAAGCCAATTTTGTAAAAGTGGAATTCTTAGCAATACAGGTCAACATGTTATAGTTTCAAATTACATCTGAACCTCAGAAGTATTCTTGTGTGCTAAAAATGGTTTTCTGGAATAAGCAGAAGGTCATAGGGGAAAACTAATAAAATGCTTTCTAAGATGGGAACTTCAGATTATTAGTTTGCAGTTCTGTCTCATCATCTTTCTCTCCTCACTGTGCCCTTAAAAAGTATTTCTTGCACAAATCACTGCATTCTAAAATTTTTGTCCCTGTTGCTCGTGGATTCATTCATTCAATAAATATTTGTGGAGAGCCCATTATGTGCCAAGCATTATCAGTGAACAAGACAAAGATGTCTTGCCTTTGAGGAGCTTAAATTCTAGTGGGAAGAAACAGACAATAAGCAGTAGATATTATAAGGAAGTAAGTAGTATGTTAGAAAGTGATGGGCCAGGAATAATAAAAGTAGGACGAGAAAAGGTATTGAAAGTGCTGGAGGTAGGGTGGGTTGCAATGTTAAAGATGGTAGGCCTCGGGGCCGGCCCCGTGGCTCAGTGGTTAAGTTCGGTGCACTCCACTTTGGTGGCCCAGGTTCGGTTCCTGGGCACGGACCTACACTACTCCAGCGACCCACATACAAAATAGAGGAAGATAGCCACAGATGTTAGCTCAGGGGGAGTCTTCCTCAGCAAAAAGGAAAAAAAAAGATGGTAGGCCTCACTGAGTAGGTGACATTTGAGCAAAGACTTGAAAGAGATAAAGGTAGAGATGCCTATGGGAAGAGCATTCCTGGCAGAGAAAACAGCCAGTCCAGGGGCCTAAAGTGGTAGTCTAGAGGGCCAGTGTGGGGGCTGGCCCGGTGGCACAGTGGTTAAGTGTGCGCTCCGCTGAGGCAGCCCGAGAGTTCGCAGGTTTGGATCCCCGGCGCGCACCGACACACTGCTTGTCAAGCCGTGCTGTGGCAGGCGTCCCATCTAAAGTAGAGGAAGATGGGCACGGATGTTAGCCCAGGACCAATCTGCCTCAGCAAAAAGAGGAGGATTGGCATCGGATGTTACCTCAGGGCTGATCTTCCTCACACACACACACACACACACAAGATAGAGGGCCAGTGTGGCAGTAGAGCAAGAGGGTGGAGAAAAGGAGGGTGAGGAAGGCTCCAGATTAGGTGGGGCCTCCTGGGCTGTTATATGGGCTTGGCTTTCCCTCTTAGTGAAGTCGGCAGCCCTTGCAGTGGTTGCACAGGAGTGGCTGGGTCTGATTACTCTGGCTGCTGTGTTTTCTATAGACCAGAGAGAATGAAGGAGACGAGCTAGGAGACTGCTATAATAATCCATGGTGGCCCTGAGCAGGGTGATAGGAGAGGAGGGTGTGAGAAGTCATTTTGGACTTCTGGATCTGGGGTTTCTGGTGGATTGGATATGAGGTATGAGAGAAAGAATAGTCTGCACCTTTCTCACCAACGTCCCTTTTTCAAGCACTTCTCTATTTCATTCTGTTCCTTCCTGGAAAACTACCCAGTTTCCATTTCCAGCTACCACAACTCTGCCCTCCTATTGATGAAAGTCAATGCTGTTTATATTTTCAATGGATATATTTTGTCTTAACCAGAACACAGAGTTCTTTCAGGTAGGGGCCAGTCTCACATACTTTTTTATATTCCCCAAAATTGCTTGCACAATAAGAAGTCGATATGTAGAGTAGAAAGAGCACTGGGCTTGTGGTCTTGAGTGTTCTATGGGATTCGGCTTAGTCTTCAGTCCCCATGAATCCTAGCTTTCTCAGCCTCAAAATGGGGGTGATGTGCCCACAGGCCAGTAGATTATTCAGGATTAAGGAAGATATGTGAAAGCATGGTGTCTGGTCCTTTTTAAAGAAAATGTTTATGGGTTAGATTGAGAAAAGTGCATGTTGATGGAAAACAAAAAAGACTAAATTAGAACACACATAATCCCACTACTTCTGAGACAATCATTGGTTTTGGTGCATTTTCGTCTAATCATTTTTCTTCTCGTTTTCTTCCTCAGATGGCTTACCCTCAGCCTGGCTGATCTTGAAAAGTTGGTGAACTTTTACTTTTTTTTAACATGCTAATTATAGTGAATTTCTTGTTTTTTCAACCAACAGGAGGATGAAATTTTGAACAGATCACCAAGAAACAGAAAGCCACGAAGAGAGTGAAACAATCTTAAGAACTTGATCTGTGGTTTCCTCTCCCCACCCCCAGCCCCCCGCAAGTGTGGTCCCAGGAGAGGACCTGGCACACCTTAGGTTGAAATTCAGAAATCCTCTAGACGTCAACCATCAACAGGTTCCAGTTGAACACTAGCCCCTGTAATTTTAAACATCTAGCAGTAAATAATTGCAGTTGTGACATAAAGGACCTTGTTTTTGTAGAAAGAAAGCATCTAACATAATGGTTGTGAAATGTAACATGAGGCAACTAACATGTATTTTTTTGTTTTTAAACATCTTTGTTTTTAAGATAGAGTGATAGAACTTTGCCAGTGTTTAAAATCTTGGCTTAATTTAATATATTAATTTGTCCTTGCAGAAATAACACCACCTTTAGAAATGCTAGGGAGATGAATTGCAGTTTTTATAACTGGTTTTGTTTTTTTAAGTTTGGTATTACAAAACATTCAAGTGTCTCTGTCCCTTAAAATCGATAATCATGTTTAAAGTGCCATCACTTGTGGTTATAATCTTGTTTTGCTTGCTTCCGTTACTCAATTCCTCCTAAAGAAATTGAGGAGAGGGATTGGATGGAAGCCCAAATTTATATAGAAGTTCTGTTTAAGTTGTATTAAAAATAGATATACAAAGAGAAAAAATCTTTTCACTTGATGTTGGTTAGACCATAAAGTGTGTGTGTTCTGTTGCCCTTGGAACAGCTGAGTTCCCAGACGGCTTTGCAATTAGAGGAGGAGGTGGCATAATGTGGCACTTGGGCATTTATACTTCACACCCCGGGCGTGTCTGGGCTCCAGCCTTCTCGAGCAGGTGGCTCTATAAGGAACGCTACTGGGGACTGTGAGCCCCAGAGATGCAGATGTTTCATTGCTTCTTCCACTGTGTTGACACTGTTTTCCTTCCCTATTTCCTCAAGTTTCCAGCTTTCTCCTCTGCTATGCGTTTTCTTCACAGCGCAGCTTGCAGTCCATTGCTGAAAATGATTATAAGCTCTGCATAGTGTTAAGCTTTATTGTGATTATGTGTATATTTCTTCTTTTTTAAGCAGACCCACACCTTTTCAGGGTCAGAGTACAGGATAAAATACTATCTTTCATTTGTATCCATTTCTTTTACTCTGTGTAAAGACTTTAGAAGTCTAATCCAGAGGCGAGCCAATTCAGAATTGACTAATTGAACCCAGGCTAAAAGTATTTATGGGAGGAGTGACATATAGCATGAGTTATCTGATTTTTGTAGCTGCTAAGCCTTTTAAGTCTTCATTTGCAGTTCATGTAGCACTTGCGTCTAAAATTACATGATAAAGCAGTCCTGTTCAAAAAGAAACTTTTTTTTTATTTGGCTTGTAGAATTTTTAAAAAGTGATCTTAGGTTTGTTTTTTCATGTGGAATGCAGATGGGTGCTATCAGAGCCTCTCCCCCATCACTCTAGTGTAATAATATCATTATTACACCACACTGAAATGTATTCAGAATTAGATGTTGTTTTAGCTTTATTCTTTCTTTAGAAGTGTTTCAAATGTACCGATCATACTGTTCCTTGCACTGAATATATAAACACTCCGGAGTGTTTATATTGGAGATATTGGGGAGGAAGTATATTCATAAAACATGAAGGCTGTATCTGTTTATTTTGTTTATCTTCAGTTTTTTACTGGTTCACTTAAATTCTTATGAGGGTGGGATGCATTTTTCTTGCTGTTCAGTGCTTTCTCCTTTTCATCTGTTCTGTGGTCACAGTGACCTTAGCTATGTAGCACACTTTCCCAAATGTATTGAGTGCAAATAAACAGTTACTTAGCAAGACCTAAAAATATGTCTGCAGGTTTCTCCTTGAAGCAAATGTGTGGGATCATTGCATTTCCAGAAATCTGCCATCTTCACTCTTTGTTGCCATTATTTCATGCCTCACTTACAGTTTCTTCCAGCTGAGTTATGGAATGACAAATGTAAATCAGTAGAGTGTTCATTTGCCTTTCCAGGGTGGTTTAGCAAAGTTTGTCCAAAAAAAAAAAAAAAAAAACTTGGTTCTCTTTTTCACTCTCTTTGTTGAAGGTGCAGCTTTCTCATTAAATGTTTTACACATTAGTGAATGACCAGCAGCAATTTTCAGCTCTTTAATAGGTACTTACATTATGATTTTACATGCTGGTTATCTGTCCCATTGTTGTAAAATGCCCACTCTATCAGATGTGTTCCTCAGTTACTCTTATCCACAAAATACTCTTCTCTTTTCTCAAATTGTCATGTTACTAAATGGTGTTACATTAAAGCCCTGCGTTAAGCGTCTGCTTTTGACTGAACTTCTTCATGGTAACCTTCAGTTAGCTTGTTTTACTGTTTCAAAAGTGGGTTAATGTTCCTTTAATTGGCTACTAGTTGAGAGTTTGCTAATATGCAGAAACTACAGCCCTCCCTTGGTATCTGCAGGGTTTGGTTCCAGGCCCCGCCCCAATACCAAAATCCGTGGATGCTCAAGTCAGTATCCCTGGATGCAGAACTCGAGCTTAAGGAGGGCCAACAGTATTATCAGCAGTGGAATAATTACTACATCTCAGCACATGCATTTGATCCAATCAGTTCAGTATAGGTTTGTCTCCTTTTCCTGCTCGATTAGGGTTCAATAGTTTCTGTTTTTTAAGAGGGTAGCAGCTCAGAAAGGGAGTTTGTAAATAATATTCTTTAAGATTTTTGGGAACCATTGAACTTTTAAATTTTTATTTGAAAATCTTTGTTCAGAATCAGAGTCCATCTTTTACATGTTCTTACATATTTCAGGGATGTTTTTGAGAGTTAGGCCAAAACTAATTTTTTTCTGCGTTACTAGGCTTTTGGATTGCCTACTGAAGAGAAATATACAAAATATAGTGCTCCTAGTTACTATTTTGTTTCCTATTGGAAAAGAAATTATTTAATGATGGTGTCAAATTTGTATGTTTGAAGACTGGTAAAAAGCAGGACCACATAGCATTCAGGAACTAGAGGCAAATTTTGCCTTGGTGCGCCGCTTGTATTTTTTTACTGCATTTGTGTAAAGACACTATTTGAATAAGAACTCATTTTTTTCTTCTGATTTTAAAATAAACATTTTTGTGGGTCCTAGTAAAAACTGTAACAAATGTGAGAGCTGTTGATGGTGCCTCTCATGTGCATCCTCCTGACACCTTGTGTTTTAACTTTTTAGCAATTAGGGTGCCAATACCTACCTGTTCCTAGTATCTCTTGGGCCAACGCAGACTATCTAGTTTTAGTACTACCTCTTTCTTTGCTCCTGTTTTTTCCCTTACAGTGTCCTACTCCCTTTGCCTACTAGTTATAAATACTAGAGGTTAATTGTCTTTGGTTGGATTTTGTTGAGTGACTCAATTTTACCTAACAGATCGGTCATCTTTTAAATGTAAAGCTTGCAGTCCAGGCTTCCCGTTTTTGACTGGCACATCATCCTTTGCAGTTCTAGTCCTCACTAATGGAGCTAGGCTTTCCACACCCTCCTGCCTCACGTCTGCTGGGGCTTTTTTTTTTTTTTTTTTAAGTAAGTCTAAATTTTTGAAACTTGTTCAAACTTTTATGTAAATGGAAATAGTCCCAGTGATTCAGAATGGTGCAAGAGGAAAGGTCTTCCAGTTCACTTATTCTGACCCATTACGAGGCTGGGTGTAAGGAATGAGGTCGAAGAAAAGCAGCTGACATTGAAAAGCGTGGCTACTTTTGAGCTTAGCAAAGCCGAATTCAAGAGGCTGCCGAAGAAAATGGTGAAGCGCTGTGCTTTCAGGCGGGCGTCTGCGTCCAGCCGGTTCCACCGCGCCGACTGTCCGGCTTTCCTTGGACCCGGAAGGGCCTGCCCGCGGGGGCGGCGTTTAGGACCTGCTCGGGTCGGTCATCCTCGGCCCGACGCCCAGAATTGAGGCCCGCCCAGGGCTTCCCTCCGCCCCTCTCTTGAGGGTTCCTTTTAAACTGCGCTCGGGAGCCCCCGCGCCTCTTGCGTGCTCGGCCCCGTCCCTCGGGCGGCCCGCTTTTCTCCTCTGATTGGCCGCAGTCCCTGCTCGTCAGCCGTGACGCAAGGCTCGCCGCCGGGCCCCGCCCTCTTCCGAGAGCCCTGAAAACAATTTTAAGATGGCGGCGGCGGCGGCGCGGAAAACAATGGGGCCGGGGCGGCGGGGACAGGCCGCGGCCTGAGGTAGGCAGCGAGCGCCGGCCCGGGTAGGGCCGAGCGGGGCCACAGGAAGACCCGCTACCGCGCGCTATCCCGCTCCGCAGCCCGCGGGGCCATGGCGCGGCCGTGAGGCGGCCGGGCCGCCGGCGGGAGCGGAGCCCGCAGTGCCAGCCGGCCCCGAGAGGCCCGCCCCGGGCCCGGCCCGAGCAGCCCGCGGCCCATGGTGCTGCCCACCTGCCCCATGGCGGAGTTCGCGCTGCCGCGGCACAGCGCGGTCATGGAGCGCCTCCGCCGGCGCATCGAGCTGTGCCGGCGCCACCACAGCACCTGCGAGGCCCGCTACGAGGCCGTGTCGCCCGAGC